AACCTCTTTACTCAGTTTACCAAAGGCCAATCCCACAGAGCCTCCAGCCCACCCTGGATGAGGCCACCACAGAACCTCTTTACTCAGTTTACCAAGGGCAATCCCACAGAGCCTCCAGCCCGCCCTAGATGAAGCCACCACTGAATCTCTTTATTCAGTTTACCAAGGGCAGTCATCTGTGTCTGACTCTCAAGCGCTTAGAGACTGCAGAAGGGGCGGTGGGTGGAGAAGGTGGGAGAGCTGAGTGAACACAAGGTCTGCCCAAGGCATTGTACACTGAACCATTGACCATTCAGAGCTGGGCCCAAGAATGAACGAGATGGTAAGCTATTAAGTGACAAATATGAAGAAGGAGGCAGGGTCAACTCCTTGTGACAAAGGTTTCCATACCACAGTTCCAGGAAGAGGAGCCCTGCTGACTGCTCTCAGAGGCCTGGTGGTCTTTCTCTGACCCTCAGCAAATCAAGCAGCCTAAATAGGAGGGCCCTTGACAGTCTGAATGGGGGTGTGAAGGGGTGGACAGCCAGGGCAGGATACAGCATGGCCCGACATGCTTGAAACTGGACCTCCTGTGGGTTCACTAGGCTGGAACTGCAGGAGGAGAGTGGGGCTGTGGCGACAGACAGGCTCCTGTTTGATGGCTCACCCCTCACATTAAGTATGTCATGACCTTCAGTGACCACCGCTGCCTGTGTGATTTTCCTTAAGGACTCCTACTGGTCCTTCTCCAGCACACTGGGCAGGGATCTGCTACTCTCAGGGTACCCCAGCACCTCACAGAAACTATCAACAGAGCCATGGGCTTTGTTTGAGCTCCTTGATGGTAAACTGTTCCCCCAAGAGCAGTTTCATGTATTCAGTTAAACTTGGAGTATCCAGAGTCTAGTGCCAAATTTGAAGGGTGCCAAGAGTTCACAGGACTTCTGGTGTGGCACTGTAGGATCAGCACTGGACTGTGAACCACAAGGTCGGCAGTTCAAACCCACCAGCTGCTTCTCGGAGACCCTATTATAGGGTCACTATGAGTTGAAATCGAATCGATGGTACTTCACAAGGATTCCCAGGGTTTTTAGTGAATGACCAACTGGGTGAATGGCTATATCTGTACAAATAGAATTGGACATAGTCCACCCTGTGGATTTCTGGTGTCGCACTATAGGATATGCACTAGACTGCTAACCACAAGGATGGCAGTGCAAATCCACCAACCACTCTTTGGAAACTATAGGCTCGCCATGAGTTAGAACCGAGTTGACAACATTTAATAACAACTCTGTTCAGAGAAACATATAGGACTCCCCACTAAGGGCTTTTCCCCCATCCATGACCCTGCCATGGCTATGACTAGCCAATGTTCCAGGTTCAGCTACCAATAAATGGACTATCAAAGCCCAGGTGAGAACTCTTGTCGGTGGGACTACAGAAAAAGCTGGCACAGGAAAAGGATATTCTGTCCTGCTTACTAGGACCACCTAGTTCCAAATTTGTGTCTGAAGGTTGAGTGGCCACCAGAATGGTCAGGATTGCTTCCCTTGACTACAGTGGGGGCTGCCTGATGCCCATTTATGCTGCCTCTGCCTCCTGCTGGCATCTGAAAAGTAACAATTCCACCAAATGTGATAGTTAAAGGTTTTTTGTTAACTTGACTGGGCCAGAATTCTCAATGACCCATGATGAAATCGAATATAATTCTCATGATGAGATCTAATGAAGTCATTTTCGTGATGAGACTTGCTATGACCAATCTATTGCAAGGAAGTTTCCTCAAGGATGTAGCCTGCAACACCTTTGATCTCACAAGAGCTAAAAGGAAAGAGAAGAGCAGAGGAGGCG